TTATCAACTGCTGGGGGTAACTTGGTAGCCAAGGCAAGTGTTTTGGGCTTCGGCCAAGGAACAGCCAAAGGAGGATCACCGAGAGCCAGAGTAGCAGCATACAAGGTGTGCTGGCCTCCAGTTTCTGGAGATGAATGCTTTGATGCTGATATATTGGCAGCTTTTGATGTGGCCATTCATGATGGTGTTGATGTGCTGTCTGTGTCACTGGGAGGAGATCCCACAGCCTTTTTCAATGACAGCGTTGCAATTGGCTCTTTTCATGCTATCAAGCATGGAATTGTCGTGGTCTGCTCAGCTGGTAATTCTGGTCCTGCTGATGGTACCGTCTCCAACATTGCACCATGGCAGATCACGGTTGGAGCCAGCACCATGGATAGGGAGTTTCCTAGCATTGTCGTCCTCGGCAACAATATGCGATACAAGGTTACTTCACCCTCCCTTCAAGTCCAGTTACTGAAAATGAGAACGAATTAAGAAGAACAAAAAAAAGGGGTAATTGCTGCCAATGCTAAAAAAGGGTTTTGCAGAAAGAACTAAAGAAAAATTGAGGAATCATGGTAAGTATTGTTGAACATAAGTAAAAATGCAGCCTTCTGAACTAGTAGAAGGATGACAAGCAACATAAGCCTTCAATCGAAGACAAAATTAAACAGGGAAATAGAGGGAAAGTAAAATTATAACTAAAGATTTGTTGGTCAATGAAGTGAATAATCTTTTATAGCTTTGGCAAGAAATGCTCATATGTTGGCACTTGTATCCTTTCTGAAGGGACAAAGTCTGTCAGCTAAAGATTTGCCAGACAAGAAGTTCTACCCCCTTATAAGTGCAGCAGATACTAAGGCGGCTAATGCATCAATTGAAAATGCGTAAGGATACAACACTTCTCAATAACTTTGGTGTCACATGTACCTACTGCTTTAACACTTCAGTCACTAATATATGCATCTCCATCTCACCATGTCTTCTGCGAATACATGCTAATCTGTAGACATCATGCAGGTTGTTATGTCAGGCTGGTGCCATTGATCCTAAAAAGGCAAGTGGAAAGATCTTGGTATGTCTTCGAGGGCAGAATGCAAGAGTGGACAAGGGTCAGCAAGCTGCTCTGGCTGGTGCTGTTGGCATGGTTCTTGCAAACAACATTCTCTCAGGGAATGAAATTATTGCTGATGCTCATGTCCTCCCTGCTTCACATATCAATTACACGGATGGTCTTGCTGTTTTCACTTACATTAATTCAACGAAGTATGTTACTAATCCAAAAATGAGTCATTTTTACCAAGGATTTAATGAGCTTATACAATAATAATAATAGTATTAAAAGCACATTGACTATGTACGGATATCTTTAACAGGTATCCCACTGCTTATATCACGCCTGTAACCACACAAATTGGCACAAAGCCAGCCCCCTTCATGGCAGCATTTTCGTCAAAGGGACCCAACACCATCACACCCGAGATCCTCAAGGTACGTGCTACAAGTAGCTACACATTTTTTCAATTCTTCAACTAATTTCTATCAGATACTCAGTTTTTAGTATCCCATATTCAGCCTGATATCACTGCACCAGGAGTGAGTGTAATAGCTGCCTATACAGAAGCACAAGGGCCAACAAATGAAGATTTTGACAAGCGCCGAGTTCAATTTAACTGTGTATCGGGCACTTCAATGTCATGTCCTCATGTTTCAGGCATTGTTGGTCTTCTTAAGACCCTTTACCCTAATTGGAGTCCTGCAGCAATCAAATCCGCAATTATGACTAGTGGTAAGAAACCTGTTCCTCAACAAAGAAATATTTGGTTTGAAGTTCTTGAAACTTCTTTCAGAGTAAGATTGCAGGATAATCCCCAGTTTTGATCCCTATGTTGCAGCAACCACATGGGACAACATGAAGGAGCCAATTCTAAATGCATCGACCATCAAGGCAGGACCATTTAACTATGGAGCAGGACATATACAACCAAACCTTGCTATGGATCCTGGACTTGTTTATGACTTAGCAGCTACTGATTACCTAAACTTTCTATGCTCTTTGGGGTACAATGAAACACTAATTTCAATGTTCTCAGAGAAGCCGTATAAATGCCCAAAGCGAATTAGTCTTGCCAACTTCAACTACCCTTCAATCACAGTCCCTAACCTTGTTGGATCCATTACAGTGACTAGGACTGTTAAAAATGTTGGTTCACCAGGTAGTTACAGAGCCCAAGTGCAGAGACCAACCGGAATTTCTGTCCAGGTTAAGCCAAAAAAATTGAAGTTCAAAAAGGTTGGTGAAGAGAAGACATTCAGTGTTACCCTGAAGGTTATGAAAGCCCATGCAGTTAAGGAGTATGTATTTGGGCAGCTGATATGGTCAGATCATGTACACTATGTGAGTAGTCCTATAGTAGTGAAGGCAGTCTAGAGGCTGACAAAAATTGCTTCAGCTATTTTAAAATTTTAATCATTGGATTAATCCTTTGATCCTACTTAGGTGCTTTGACCATTATTCTTCAAGGCAATGCTGTTATATTTGACTAAGCAATAAATATTGGCAAAAAGAAAACCTATTGGATGAATGAGACCTTCCTCTCTCTCTCTCTCTCTCTCTCTCTCTC